CCCCCCCCCCCCCCCATGAACTTGTCTCCGGATCCAAATTAAAACGATTAATTTCAAAACCCTTTTCTCCAAAAAAAGAATGTGTAATTTAATCGTCTTCCTCGTCGTTCTTGCATCATCATCAACCCTAACCGTCGTCAAATCCGACATGAACACCATTCAGACAACCTGCAAGAACACAAAGTACTTCGACCTCTGCATCTCCGCTCTCAAATCCGACCCGAGAAGCTCGACCGCCGATCCGAAGGGCCTCGCCGCAATCATCGCCGGAAACGCCACGGCCACAGCCAACGCCACGGCGGCATATCTCTCCGGCGAGCTCTATGACTCCTCGAACGACAGCGTTTTGAAGAAGGTCCTCAAGGACTGTGGAGACAAATACTCTCTCGCCGCCGATTCTCTCAGGCTTTCGGTTCAGGATCTGGACAGCGAAGATTACGACTATGCGTACATGCACGTGATGGCGGCGGAGGAATATCCCAACGTCTGCCGGAATATTTTCCTGCGGAGAAAGGGTTTGGTTTATCCGCCGGAGATTCGCCGGAGAGAGGAGGGTTTGAAACGCATTTGTGATGTCACGTCGGGCATTATTATCAATAGTCTCGGTGAATGATATTCTTGCCCCTCATTTATATATATGTAGTAAACTTTTCTGTTTTATTTAGCTTTATTTACAAGTTTAATTAATTACAATGAAATTTTCATGGACCGGTTTGTATAGTTTTGATATTGGATTTCAAATTCCGAAATCTCTAACATCTGTGATGATGTTGCTGTTCCGGATCTCGCCAAATAGTTTTCACAAACAATTCAACATTTTTCTAAAAGAAATATATACATATGTGTGTATAAATATAAGTAGTTCATTTATACAATAAAATTTTCCATAATATGCGAATTATGTGAAAATTTCTTTTATGTATTAATTTTTCTACAGAAATGTGAAGCTTAGATTCAGCAAATCAAATAAAATTAAAAACACTTGCAATATAGGGGAAGAGTGTAATCAATGCATAGTATACATCATATTCTCCTGTCACTAAGTACAAGCGGACGCTATGAATTCTATACCCCCGAACCCAAACGTAAGAAAGGCACTTAATGGGCCGGCCCAATAAGCCCAAAATCCTAAAACTATTTATGGAAATTTGGCCTCGACCCGTACGTGATTCTGTGGAGAAAATAAAAATTAAACTTGCCAAAATATCAAATGTTCGGTCCCATTGTAGTATTAATTGTTTGTTTCTTTATATATTTGATTTTATCTGGAAACGAGTCAAATAAATTGTCAGAAAATGCTATGGTGCGTCTTATTGCGGTCATGTTGGATAAGTGTCTAAGACAGTGGTCTGAATCAGATACCATTATCATACAGGGAAGATTTTTTTTTTTTAGTACCAAATTTCACAGATGAGTATAGAATTCGGATAATGGGATTAATAAGGAATAATATTTTTTTATTATTCCCATAAAAACATGAAATGGTGGTAGAAGGAAATAAACAAATAGATTTCATTTCCTCTTCCCTTGTATTAGATTTCCGTGTTGGTATCTGAATTTGTTGACCCCGAATCCCGGACCGGACCCACTCCTCTCACTCTCCCTCTCTCTCTATATATACAATACACCCCTTCTTCTTCTTCTTCTCCAGTGGCTTATCCGACACTCCGTTTTCTCTCTCCTCCGCTGCCAAGTCTCACCGGAAAACTCCTCCTCGTCCCGCCGCGCTGCTTATTCCATTTAGCCATGCCCTCCATTCTCCTCCCCTTTCCCTTCTTCTTCTTCTTCTTCTTCTTCTTCTTCTCCGTGTCTCACTCCTACCCCAACTACCGCCATCCTCTCGCCGCCGGCAACTCTCCGGCGTCTCCTCCCATTTCCCAGATCCGACTCGCCTGCAACGCGACCCGGTTTCCGGACGAATGTGTCTCTTCGCTGTCCGAACCGGGTCGGGTCCCTCCGGATCCGAAACCGGTTCAAATCATCCGTTCCGCGATCTCCGTCTCCTACGACAATCTCAAAACCGCCCAATCCAAGGTAAAGTTCATCCTGGACTCGTCCGCAGGGAATCTCAACCGCACAAACGCCGCCAGCACGTGCCTCCAGAATCTCGTCTACTCCGATCACAGAACCGTATCGACGGACGAGGCATTGACACGTGGCAAGATCAAGGACGCTCGAGCGTGGATGAGCGCGGCTCTCGCGCACGAGTACGGTTGCTCGTCGGGGTTCAAGTACGTAAACGACACGAAGCAAGTCGCGGAAACGATAACGTTTCTCGACAGCCTCGCTAGACTCAGCAGTAACGCGTTGAGCATGATGGTCTCTTACGATAATTTCGGAGACGACGTCCTTTCGTGGATCCCTCCTTCGACGGAGCGGGACGGATTCTGGGAGAAGGTTGGGCCGATCTTGGGCCTAGGTTCGGTTAATGGGTCGAAACTGGGCTTTCCATCGGGCTTAACGGAAAACGTGACGGTGTGCAAGGACGCAGGGGACGGGTGTTACAAGACGGTGCAAGAAGCCGTTAACGCGGCACCGGAGAATAACGGAGGGCGTAAGTTCGTGATAAGGATCAAGGAAGGGGTGTACGAGGAAACCGTTAGGGTTCCGTTTGAGAAGAAGAACGTGGTGTTCATCGGTGACGGGATGGGCAAAACGGTCATTACGGGGTCTTTGAACGCTGGTCAACCCGGCATGACCACTTATAACTCCGCAACTGTTGGTGAGTTTTTTTTTTTCAAAAAAGTGACGGTTTTTTTTAATACAAAGCTTAAAAAGAGTAACGTTTGGTTTGATATATATATATATATAATATATAGAAGTTTATGAATTTTATTTTGGTTACGTAGGAGTGCTGGGCGATGGATTCATGGCTCGTGACGTGACGTTCCAGAACGCGGCCGGACCGCCCACTCACCAGGCCGTGGCGTTCAGGTCGGACAGCGACTTCTCGATCCTCGAGAACTGCGAGTTTCTTGGGAACCAAGACACTCTCTACGCTAACTCCCTCCGACAATTTTACAAGAACTGTCGCATCCAAGGCAACGTCGACTTCATCTTCGGCAACGCTGCCTCTGTCTTCCAAGACTGTCAGATCCTCGTCGCCCCGAGACAGGCCCAACCCGAACACGGGGAGAACAACGCAGTTACGGCCCACGGGAGGACCGACCCGTCTCAGTCCACGGGGTTCGTGTTCGTGAACTGCTCAATAAACGGGACGCAGGAGTATATGAAGCTGTTCAAAGCCAAACCAAAAGTTCACAAGAGCTTTCTGGGCAGGCCATGGAAGGAGTTCTCTAGGACGGTTTTCATCGGATGTAACCTCGAGGAACTGATAAGTCCGGACGGGTGGAAGCCTTGGAGTGGCGATTTCGCGCTGAAAACGCTGTTCTACGGGGAATATAAGAACACGGGTCCGGGGTCGGATACGAGGAACAGGGTCAAGTGGAGTAGTCAGATACCAGAAGAGCATGTTAGTGCGTACTCGGTGGCTAATTTTATTCAGGCAGACGAGTGGGCAACAATTACCGCTTGATTGTTTTTATTTCAACCCATTAAAATCAGTGTAGTGGATGAATGGTTGATTATAGAGTTTAAGTGATTAAGGGACTGTACCAAGAAAGAAACCCTCATTTTAAACATCATCATCATACATTGACCTTTTCCGAACAAGGCTTGGTTATTGAAGCATTTGATGAGGCTATGGTGCACCATCACATAACCCTACCTTTCTCCCCAAGTAACGTGCGGAATCAGAAAACTGAAGCATCCGCAACTAGACAGCAAGACCGAACCCACTAGAAAGAGAAACTCTCACATGAAGAATCAACATATGACAATAAATATGCGACCAGAAGAAACGAATTGGAACACGAGAGAGCAAAAAGACTGCAGAGAACCAATTACCAAAGCTTAAGAACAAAAGGGTACTTTGTTGCTTTACTCGAGTTATAAATAACACATATCAAAGGTAAAATCTTTCACTTTCTACTGTAAATTCTTCTCCACCTTGCCTCTATCCTAACGGCCATACCAGCTCTACATATAAACTTTGAACGCGTTAACTGACCGGTGAAACCAAAAAAAATGGTGAAGGGAATGGAAAAGAAACGCTTTGGGGGCAAAAAAATGTATCCGGATTCTGTAAAACTGTTAATTTTTTTTTTACCATTGTGTACCTCAGATGAAGTTATGAGTAGGGTATTCATGCTCATAACCATTGTAGTCATAATATAGCCTCTCCCCCTTGGCGATATCTCGGTTAGCGACAATAAGCACCCGACATTCACCATTTATGCTGTATCTCACGCATTTACAGTTCTGCTTCTTTTTACCGCCCCTGCAAAGTCATTGTCTCGGTATTAAGAAAGACAGTGAAGCAGTTTAAAAGGAGAAAGAACCGTATCTATAAGGTAAGTTCCTTGAATGCTTACGGAGTGTGATTGTTGATACCGTTGATGAAACGAGAAATGTTTGCATATTTGTCAGGGCATATAACAAGACTCTTCAATGGGTTTTCCGCCAGAAGGAGGGTCATAATGCTATCGCAGTCATCGTTTTCCCTGTTCTTTAAGTAATCAACGTCCCCGGTATATTCAGCAATAAATGTCAAATCCTTGATCGGACCATCTGCTTCAACTGTGTAACTGTAAGAGTGTAAATGTAAAAACATATTTATCAACCTAGTATTTTCTTGACAAAACAAGATCGACCCTGGGGTGTTCAAAGGGACATACCCTTCAATCGGATCAAACATCACCACAAGGGGAGGGCACTCTCCTCGTCTACACATCGCTCGGCACTGTTCCAGGGTCTCTAGATCTTCCTTCGGGAGCACCTACACAAAAAAAAAATAGGGAGAAAATAATCGGAATTAAACCCTAAACCCTAAAAGAGATCAAATAGAGGATAGGGTTTGAAAGGACTCTGATATACTTTACCTGCATCCCACCTTTCTCGAACTTAGACTGATTGGCAGATCGGAGGGCCATCCCGGACTCATAAGTTAAATCATCGCTATATTCGATACGGAGTGCTGTTAAAGCAGAAGCAAGTGTGCCCATCTGTTTCAGCCTCTGGGAAGGATCTTCGGATGGAACAAATGGCAATAGCCTTCTCCTTCTCTTCTTCATTACTAAGGGTGCCGACCGTCTTCTATACTTTTTGGCATCTATAAAAGAGAAAACGAATTGCGTGATTATATAAATGTACGTAAAACGCAAATTTCTAAATGTAGCACCACACATCTTCCAAAAAGGAAGACGTTTTTAACATAACTGGAGCTAGCTTAGTATAACATGCAGCACATAGTTTATGAATGTATATAGCCATCCAACATCACGACTTGCAATGAAACCAAAGGATAATTTCAGATAATTCCGAGAGACCTTTTCCATGGAGTAGACAAAAAGGATAGGATTCCAATTATTTGAAAAATAATACGCGGTCTTGGACAAACCAGCGCTTTTAAGTCTGAAATGGTAGTTCTAACCAATTTTGGTATAGAAACCTTAAACACTTCCAAAAAACTACCATTCGAAGGTTCGTCAAAACATGGATGCTAAATAAGGATATGGACGAGGAATTTTCAGCACTATCGAAAAATCAAATCATCTTGCAGAGAAGCCTAGACATCAGATTCTGGCAGAGAATAACAGCGTGCTAGAGACGAAGCGATGACTGAAAGGTAGTTTTCAGACATCTATCAAGATGGAAATTCATTTTCCAAACTACATCTGGGGTGTTATCTAAGAGCATAATGGCGTATACAGAAATATGCAAGTAACCGCGCTGACATGAAAAAGCTCGCTGGCTAGGTTTAAAGGTATATACGATCCATTAGCAAGATAGAAGCACAACATGAAAAGAAGGACTAAAAAAAGAAAGTCGGGAAATATATTGAACTGCGATCATTACCAGCAGCTAGTATCACTAAAAGAACACAACATGCACCTTGAAATCGATAATGTCATTAGGTATTCTGAGAGAGACTGGGAACAAACAACATTCTAAAAAAGACCATGACCTGCGTTTCCTTTGTGTATGTAATAAGTCCTTTAAAGCTGGATCATCTAACAAATCTATCCGTTCTTTTCTATTTCGAAAAGGGATGTTAGGAAGAGATGCATACATTCTGTTGGAAGAGCGACAACAAGATAACCTAATGTGTATGCAAAGAATTGTTTGCACCCGGTGGGAACCGTACCCTAAATGAAATGCTTCTTGAGGCACTAAGGCAATGTATTCTTAAACGAACCAACCCCATTCGAGTCGGAGAGAGCAAGAATTCATCCAATTGAAGTAATCTATTGGCTAAAGGTAACTCTTTGACGTTCATCATCCAGAAGCTATCAAACCACAGTCTACAGATGTAAACACTGCAAAAAAGAAAGCCAGGTACTTTCAAATGGGCAAACTTCTGAATGTTGCTGATGATGTCCTTATCTTTTAACAGAACCTCTATGAACATTATGTACTTTATGAGGATTGAGGACCCCAGGAAGAAGTGATGAGCCATTTCAGATAGCTTTCAACAAAACAGAGCTTCAATTAAGTGCAACACAAGGAATTCTACGGCTAGAGTGAATTTCTATGTTCTGGATGCATTTTTTGTGCAATGCAGTCGAGAGAAGGAGGCAATCACAATGACACTGTGGCAACGACGATCGGGACATGAACCAGAAAATTCAGACAAGAAAAAAAACCATACCTTGAGCATGTTCCCACTTGTCCTGATGATCAATTCGCTTCTCAATCCGAAAGAAATCCAAAATCTTCTTCTGAGAAAAACCTAAACATACCCGGACAAAATCCCAACGCTGAAAAGGAACATCCGAACGAGGGAAAAAAACAAAGAACCAGAAGATCACAAGACGAAAAATCCCTACTTCTCGCACGTCGCTTGTCGGAACAATCGTGACAGACCCACGGTCCGCTGGGGACGCGGGCTACGATCGGCCTAAGGCATTTCATGTGAAACCCTCGGTCGCATTTGTCACACAGAAGAAGCTCCTCGTCTCCTTCCCCGGAGCCGCATTTCTCGCAGGTGACGTCACTGTAGCTGTCTCGTTCCGTTGTTGCGTATCTCGCGTTCGCCATTATGTCCGCCATGGATTTCATCTTCCTCCGCGGCGGAGAATCGGAGGAGAACCGGTGCGGCGCCTCCGTCCGCCGCCTTGAGGAGACGAACCGGCGAGGCGAAGCTGCCGGCGAGGAGATCGCCGTTGCCATGATCGGAGAGGCAAATGTTGAAGCGGGGACGGCGACTGAGCAAGGTGAAGACTCACCGGAGAAGAAGACGGACCGACGGGGAGAGGCGATTTTTGATTGGTCGCTAATGTGCACCGCGAGTGCGCACGGAAATTGATGTGCGCATCACCTGGAGTGTATTTTGGGGTACTTGGACTTCTTTTTTGCTTTTTTTTTACACTTTTTTTCTGATAATTTCATTATTGCTTTATATTTTATTATTATGCTGATTTTCTATCAGATTTGTATGTTCTAATACAAATTTTCCTTTCTTCTTAATTTAGCTTTCATTCTTAAACTTAAAGAACAATGAATATCGGTATCCATTTTAAAAACTCAGATAAATATCCTAACTTTAAATTTTTTAAATAAATATAGAAACTAAATCAAACTTTTATGGTAAGCCATGAACTTTTTTAAAACATAAAATTAAATCATTAAAAATGAAACTATTCTCAAAATCGTTATATAATTAAACTCTAAATTTTTAACCGATTTTCAAAAACCAATATGATATATGGTGGTTTTTAATAAAATGTTACAAAATTCAGATTTTAATGTAGAAGTTATCAAGAATTTATATATATATATATATTTAAATTTTATAATTCGTATTTTATCTAAAATATTTTACAAATTATATATTAATATGTGATTTTTTAATCTTTACATATATCTTTTTAGGTGTTGACGGGTGGTAATGCGAACATTTGCGATACATTTATTAGGGATTTTGGATTATTGGTATTGAGGAATAGAAAAATTATTGTTGAAAGCGATAATAATTGTTTAACAATGATTGCTATTATTATCTATTTTAAAGTACCAAAAAGAATATTATTTATTATATAGCATATTCATATTTTTTAAAATATTTTTAATTAGTTTTTACTATTATTTGATACCAATTAATTACTAAATTTATAAATAATTAATTATAATTTTAAATTATAACTTTTCTATCAATTTAATTTAATTATTTAATAAAATTTTATTTTTAATATTAAAAATATTTAAACATATTTATCAGTAAAATCAAACATAGTATACAGAACAAAATTAAAAATATTTTTAAAAATATTTAATAGTAAAATCAAATAATATCAAATATAATACCGAACAAAATTATGTATGTATATATATGTATGTGTATGTATAATATATTTATATATATATGTTATGTGTATATACGTGTGTTGTATGCATATATGTATATATATATAGTTATTTATATGTATCTATTAAAATTCCAGATATTTTAATAATTTAATCCAAACATCGTAAAATGTAATAACGATTACGTATATATTAAAATATAATCGTGATACAAGAAGATAAAAAAAAATACGATTAGAATCTTAGTGTTTTATTATAATTGCAGCTATACCAATTACTTGTCTAATCGTCCGAAGTTATAATCGTCTCGTTTACTGAAGATTACGTTATTTTCGATAAGATTCTAAATTCTCCAATTTTTATGTGTGATTAGAATATAAATTTTGTTAGAAAATTAGAAAATAAAATATTAGGTTGTAAAAGAATTAGACAATAAAAGACTAAACACCTCATTCCATAAAATTACATGCTCCACGAATTAAAACTCTCTAAATATCATATCAAAATTGTTCAGATGAATCTTGGAAACTAGTCTATTTACTATTTATAAATATTATATCACAGAAAAAAAATGCCTTTATCAATGTTTCTTCAAAAAATTAATTTATAAAACTTAAAAAATATTGAATCGAGAATAAAAAACTAAATATCAAATGGCAAGGAACGGAACAAAGCTCTTTTCCAATCCGGTTCGAGTCTTTATTTGGAGAATAACATTTACATGGACTTTTTAATGGATATTAGCTAGTGATGTCAAACGAGCCGGCTCGGACCAGCTCGGACCAGCTCGTTTCGAGCCATCTCATTTTCAGCCCAGCTCGTTAAGCCCATTTTTATTTGGGCTAGAAAATTCTTGGCTCAGCCCAAGTCACTTAGCTCGCGAGCCGGCTCCCGAGCCGGCTCATATTTTTCTAAATACCTAAAAAAAATCATATCACATTATATAAAATCATATCCAAATGGTATATCAACATAAAAAGAACATACTAATACATCCAAATCATATTTATATTCACAATCACAATCCATATACAAAAAATCATTTTCAAATAGATAAAATCATAATCCATCCATGTACAAAAAACCATTTTCAGATCTTAATCCATCCATATACAGTTAGATTTTAATCCATGTACAAAAAACCATCTTTATATCCGAATCTATACATAAAAAATTATCTCCAAATCAAAATATCATACCAACAATATCAACACTTTCAAGTTTCAACGTAAATTTTTTTTTTACTCCCCCTCCCGAGCCAGCTGAGCTAGCTCGTTTGGGCTCGGCTCGTGGCGAGCTGGCTCACTCAGCCCATTTTTATTTGGGTTCAGATATTCTTGGCTCGGCTTGGTAAAAAAGGAGCCAACCTCGAGCCGGCTCGTGAGCTCGGCTCGTTTTGACATCCCTAATATTAGCCATTAGGTATATCATTCAATGCTTGGATAATACTAATTTCCAAAAGTGATAAAAGGGAAAATGTCGGAGGAGTCCAATTGATGGGTTTGTTTAGTAGAGGCCCATTTAAATATATTTATATTTTATCCGTTTATAAGATGGGCCTTTGGATATATAACAAAGTATCGATAAACATTTGGATTTTTTTGTAATCGTATAATTTGTATTCATTTATTTTTTGTATCCTTTTTAGCATTAAGTAAATATATTTATATTTTATTCGGATTAATATATCCCGAATGGTTATCATATTATATTTGTTTTGAAGTAAAAATATATTTTTTTTATTAAAAATTTTGGGTTTTCTGATTTTTTTTTTATAAAAATTTATTATGATTTCGAAAAGTTCGATTTTCTAAAAATATTGCCATTTGAGATTTTTTGACAATTCGATTCAGAGAAGATATAAATTTTTCGGTTCGCTCTGATTTAGAACTGAACTAGAATGCGTAAGGTTTCTAGTTTTTACGACTGAACCTTTTTTTTCTGATTCCGGTGACTCGGCGGAGAACCAACTCGGACCAAAGCCCAGTGAGTCGCTGACGAGTCCGGTTCAGCTCGCTGACGAGAACTTGCATCGTCGCTGGACAAGTGTTGTTGTTGCCGCCACCGGATGATGGTGCGGCCGCAGGTGACGCCGGTGCGGAGACTTCATCACTTCGAGCGAAAGAATAGAACTATGATGCTGACGTCACTCCTGTTTCCATTTTGACATCATTTGAAATACTAAATCTAATCATTTAGATTGGTGATTTCACTTTATTCATCTCACAAAGAATCGCATGATATTGGGGAAGAATCGCATAATTAATGTGCTGATTTCATGACATTTTTAAGATATATATATATTTCTTAATTGTAATAACGCTATCAAATTAATAAGGTAATTATAATTCTCTTAATAATATATGCACATCAAATCACAACCTCTAAGACCTAAATATATATGATATGAAGTAGCTTAGATTGAGGAAGATCCATAACAGTTGGTATAAGTGACATAATCCTAGTCGGACAGTACTGAATATAGGGTGGGACCAAACATATTATCGCCTAACCAAAAAGAAATAATATAAAGTTTATATATAACTTATTTTCATCGATTTGCCACCTCCCTCTCTCTCCATCTGTTCTTCCATGTTATTTATTTCCATTTTAATTTTTCTAAAAAAATGAAAAATATAACTAATCTAATTATGGAGCTGCATATTCTTTTGTGTAGAGAAAATATTATGTTTTGCAGTTATAAAATCACATGATTTGATGATATTTGCATGCGCTTTCTCCCATTTAATTCTAAAGCGGAGCTTTCACTGATAACCTCTTCTCCTTGGGTCATATCTGCGACTTCGACGTGTCTATCTCTATTCACAAGAAAAATGAAACATTTTTTTAATATGTTAATTATATCGATAATTTCAAAGTTTCGTACCCTGTCTTTTCATGGTTACGTTTACATTCTTACGTAACACAATTATTATTTTTGTTGGTGAATCATAACGCAATTATTTACTTATAAATATGGAATATATATCCTCAAAACATTCACATATATATATATATATATATTCTGAAATGAAAATAAAAATATTACACGTACCCTTAAACTCCCAAGTTATGTATATATATGTGTATATATGTCTCTATATATATATTATATATATCAAATCTGCCCATGTTTCTTGCTGTCAACAATTTCACCACTTTCCCTTTCTCCCCACGCCTATCAGGCTATCACAAAATCCTTAAAAATAATAAATAGATTTTACCAAAAGTTTCCCAAAACCCTTCAAACAAGAAACCTCTCTCTCTCTCTCTCCCCCTCTCTCTCTCTCTCTCTCTCTCTCTCTCTCTCATACACACACACACGCAATGTATCGAGATCGAAGATCAAGTACTCAACTAGTTCTAAAGTTCCTGTTCCTGCAGTTTCTCTACGCGACAATGATTCTCCCAGGTCTCTGCGACGGAACAAGAATCACCGCCACCGTCTTCTTCTCGGTACCTAACGACGCCGTTTCGTCATCACACGACCATGGAAAAAGACAGTTCATGGGGTTCCTGCCCAGATACTTCCCCGTACCAGCTTCTGGCCCTTCAAGAAAACACAACGACATCGGTTTACATAGTTTGGGATCATCGCCCTGATCTATCTTTGTCCTAACCGCCAGGTGATCTTCCCCTTTTTTTTTCTTTTTTTTCTTTTCTTTTTTTGGATTCTTGTAAATTAAGATGAAAAGGAATTCGAAAAAGTAGCGATGAAACGATTATGAAGTCGGTGTAAATGGTTTTGATGGGTTATTACATACATATATATATATACATATGTTTTGAATATTATAAATACTGTCTTTAAGGTGGATTGTCGGATGAAATGTTCTAACATTTCATGTCGCGATATATCTTGAATTTGCGGAAGATATTGGTTTGTTTCTTGATCTGTACATGGAGACGCCAGAAGGTTATATATGGTATTTAAACAGCCCTAGTTTCAGTTCCTTGCAACCGTTGTTCTCTCACGACGAATTAAATGAAAATAAAGTCTTATACACGTGTATAGTGATGTAACCAACTACAATGTAATTAAGG